CTAATTAATAAAAAAATGTTAATAATAAATTTAAATTATTAATTTCCTTATTATTTATTAATTAATAAATTATGTAAATTAAAAATTACATTTTATATAAAGCAATTAATATATGTACTAATAATTTTTTGTATATTATTGTTATTTTATATTATATTACATTATATATTCTTTCATAAAAAAGATATAGCTATGAAATACAATGGATATTTTAGGGCACTGAACTTTTATCAGAAAATTGCATTCAGTTTGTAGAGACATACAGCTATATTTAAAATTAAATGTTTACAACAACTCCAATTAAAAACTTTTTATTTTTAAATTTTCTTCCTCAAGCGTTCTATGCATGATAATATTACTAAAATTGTTAAAGGAAATTACACTTCACTATATCCCATCTATATGTTTCTCCCCTCAAATTATCTCTTTAAAACCAGAGGTAGAACTGCATGAATATAATGCAGTTCCGTTCTCGTAGAATGGAATCTAATATGTAATTACCATTGTTCTGCCACGTATTTAACGATTTTTACGATGTACAGAACAGATGTATGGGACATATTGTTTCTTTTCATTGGTATCGCGTTGCTAAGAGACACGTTCGCAAGAAAAGGAACGTTAATAATACGTATCAAGTTGTTTATTTAAAATTTATAAGTTTGATTTTTTACTTTGTTACTTTGCAGATATTACATTGCCGAACTGTCATCAGAGACAATTATAAGACATCTATATAAATAATAAGCTCGATTTGCTATACTGCAAAACATGGTGATTGATGTATTACGTGAGTGGGGATGTACTCCATGAAGTTGCAATTGATAAAACTGCCGGTACTTTTTCAGATCTTTCTCAAACTGGAGTGTCGCATAAATGTGCTAATCTTTATTTCCTCGCGATTTCAATACTGTATACAAATGACAGTCACAAGTACTGTTAGTCCGGTGTTGAAGATCGGTCTTCAATTACTTGGTGTGTGGCCGGGAATATCCACTTCATATTGGCTAATTAACATATTTAGCATACTGATTTTACAGTATTACCAATATCGATACGTACTTGAACACTTCAAGATCAGCGAGCTTTCAGATCTCGTTGATGGTTTATCAGCAGCTTTAACTTACAGCTTAATAATTCTTAAAGCAACCAATATTTGGATACATCGTGGGTAAGATAGGCGTCACTGCAAACATTAGTTTTACTTAATCTCACTCGTTTAAGACACAAAATTATTAGTTTCTTATATGCTATCAATTAGGTTTTTTACAAACGATACATGTATACGATATAATCTCAGTTCTTTCTATAATAGTTTCAAATCCCTTAATTTGAGTAACAATTTATAGAGTTTCGCAAAGAAAATATTATATTTATATTATTATATCTTATCTATCTAAACATTTGTCTAATTAAAATAATACATTACAGAGTCCTTCATCAACTTCTTGCTGCTATGAACAATGATTGGCATGAATGCATTGATAGTGATCATTTATATATGATGACAATCAAAGCTAATAATGCTCATTTTTATTCTAATGTTATGATTAGTATTAATATACTTGCTGCGGTGTCTTACTTTTTCGGCGGTTATGCGATTCGTTTTGCATATCAATCCGGAGATTACAATAATACCTTGCGACAATTTCCTATAAAGGTACAATTTCCCTTGAAAGCTCAACAATCGCCTATTTTTGAGTTGCTGGCCGTAACTCAATTTCTACTTATGTTGTTTAATTCATACATGCTCTCTGTTATAAATGCATTAATTTCTACTCTAGTAAGTTGCAATCTTATAAATTATTCTTTTCATTTCTCATAAAAAATGTTAAATGAAATATGACGTCAGAATAGATTTTAAAATAAAATTTAAACTTAGAAATTACTCCTTGTTTGATATTTAATTTTATACGTTATACATACTTAATTTGATAATATAATAAGATTTTATAACAAATTTTAATTAATTAATTATTTAAATATATTACTTATGAGCGCACTACGTTATACATTCGATTTTTTTTTTATACCGAGCATTTCTGCATGTATACTTATGTGATGTTTTTAATACTTGGAATCTTTTCAGAAATTTTAACATTTTAGGTGCTTCACGTAAGTGGACAAATTGATATACTGTGTCAAGAATTCAAAACTATTTCTGCAAAAACTCTTCCTTATAAAACTTCCACATCTATGTTAGGTATATTGATTGAAAGACACAACAGAGTTTTCTGGTTTTCTGACAACATTGAATATCTTTTCTCCTTTATTGCTTTAATGCAAGTCATTTGGAATACTTTAGTTATTTGCGGTCTGGTATTTATTATCATAATTGTGAGTACAAAAAAAACGATATTGTGATTAACATTATACTTAATTTATTTGGTCTTATTGTTTACTAAAATAGTCGTTTCATATTGAGACTGGTGTCAGCGTAATGATAAAATCCGTTTTTTCTTATCTTGCTATTATAGCGGAAATTTTTATTTTATGCTTTGCTGGAGAATATCTTAATCTTAAGGTTAGTAAGTATTTGGAAATTGTTAACTGAGAGTACTTTATTCATTAATGTAATATGATTATAGTGAAATATGTATT